AGAATCCCATGATGCAATTATATCGTTAAAGTCCTTGGCAGCTTAGCTATTATTTTATGTAAAATATATGCATGGCTTCTGAGAATTCCTCTCCACCAGCAGACAGGATGAAAAAAATATTAGCGATGATAGGATTCTATGCTATCATGCTGGTATTTATGTGCCATTATTGATAGGAATCTTGCTTGTTTGGAATCTGGAAGGTAAACAGAGTTTCGGATTCCAACCCTCTATTGTGGAAAGTGATAACCCTGCAGCATGGCCATGCAAATGAAGGAACTCTGAAACACCAAACCTCCAATCAGAGCACCGGCAGACCAACATTCCGAACACGCCTCTCTCCCCAAAGAGAGCCTGGCACATGCCATGGAATCTTTTTAGAGCCAGCATCAAAGGCTGTGTGAGGCCCAGTATTTGGGACATCTCTTTGCAGCCGAAGTCCCAAAGTGGGGTGAGGTTAGCGAGGGCAAATAACTACATAGTTTTCTCCAAAACGCCATAGTTGGAATTCCCTCTCCTGGCCTGGGCTCCCTCCCTCCTGGCCGCCCCCCCTCCCCTTGCTATTGCACATCCCTTAGCCTTACAAAGTCCTCTGGGCCCCAGTGCCTGGCTGGTCCTCCGCCCCACCCACCTGCTGCACCAGGCACTGCCCAGCCCAAGCATAAAAGAACTTTCCTCCCGCAGAGAGGGATGGAGCTCAAGACACGCCCAGGCTATCTATAGAAAATCCCTCTGGGGGTTCTGCTGACAAGTCACTCGAGATCCCTCCTTGGGCTTTATTATGTCACAGGAACCCTGGATGGAATGCAGAGGATTAAATTCCAAGCCCTTCCCTGTCGGCTGGCCAGTCGGCCTGAAGGAAGGGAGCCAGGAGCTTTTCGCCTGGCTCAGGGGCCATGTGCGCTCTCAGGTGCCCCCTACTGAGTGTTTCCGTCCCTGTGGTTCTGAGGCCTGCAGAGTCTCCTCGCAGCAGTCCAGAGCTGCTGAAGGAAGGCCTGGGGGCTGCTGACAGCTCAACCCTCTGCTCTTACAGCCTAGCAGGGACTCGGGCGTAGGCAAAGAATGCAGCTTTGACACTCGGGGCTCACAGAATGGATTTGGGCAAGTCACCGCTCCCCTCTGAGCTTTGGTTTCCTCACCAAAAGAACCCCTGGCCCATGAAACGGCTACTATCACTACCATGTGGCAGTTGGGGAGTGGACACCACAGAGGGGAGAGTTCTCAGCAGGTGCGGAGGGGGAGTTTGGAGACCACAGGTCCATGCACATTGAAGGGTAACAGAAAAGATGCCAGAGCAAGGGAACACTTCATATGTGGGCTAATTCTTTGGAAAGGCAAGGATATTATCAGGTTACTGAAACCTAACAGCCCTGTGTGTTCCTCATCCATAATATGGGAGTAATAATAGTACCGTGGTGATGAATAAATGGGTCAATTCATTAAAAGGGCTTCAAATGGTGCCTAGTATATACTAAGACACCTATTCTTATTCTTATTCCTTTTTTTTTTTTTAAGATTTTATTTATTTGACACAGAGAGAGAGACATCGAGAGAGGGAACACAAGCAGGGGGAGTGGGAGAGGGAGAAACAGGCTTCCCGCCGAGCAGGGAGCCCGATGCGGGGCTCGATCCCAGGACCCTGGGATCATGACCTGAGCCCAAGGCAGACACTTAACGACTGAGCTACCCAGGTGCCCCTCTTCTTATTCTTATTCTTATTCTTATTCTTATTCTTATTCTTATTCTTATTCTTATTCTTATTCTTATTCTTATTCTTATTCTTATTTTCTTTTCTTATTCCATGAGTTACCTATTACTGTTGTTACTATTAAGAATCCGGGAGCTTCTACAGCCAACAATGCTTTGCAAAGATCACAAGTGTTGATAACATTTATTGCACATTTATGGCATGCCAGTCATTCGGCTGAGCAATTAAAATAATCTAGCATTTCAGAACAATCCTGTGCAAGAAGTACTATCATTTCCATCTTTTAACATGGAAGAACCCGAGCGTTAGTGACCTGCCCCTAGGTCTGAGAGCCGGTAAGTGACAAGCACGGTCATCCCTGTCCCACCAGAGCTTGCCCAGGCTGGAGTTCTCTCTGGCTGTTTGAACTCCCACACACTCTTGACCTTGCTGGGTCTCGTATGGAGACACAGGGCAGATCCTAATACCTGCTTTCTTTCGTTCACATGGTTGTGTCCAGGAAAGTGCCATGCAAACTCACACTCTGCCCAGAAGTCGGAGGAATCTAATCTTCATAGAGGAAGGTAAGTCAAAGGAAGGAGTAGGGACCTTGGACAGACATGGCAAGCCTGCATCTTCGTGGGATTGACCTGCTTCTTCTCAGAGAACAAGAAATGACAAGGGACAAAGTATATATTTGATCTAAGCCAAAAGCCCAGGGAGGCTCCTCTCACCCTGGGGAGGCCATGTGTGTTATGAAAAGTAGATGGTTCCCACTTTCAGAACGCATCAGATCTCGAATCTTTCAATGTGTGTGCATGTAGGTGCGTGCGCGCACACACACACACTGATGCTCTCAGTAATAATGCATCGCTAGGCTTCCACCTTAGCAGAGTATATGGAATATGTAAACAAATAATAAATTATGCCTGTGCCAATGGGGCATAGAAGCAGTAACTATGAAATACTCCCCAGGGGAGAGAAAGTTTATTGAGACTGTGATAGAACACCCCAATCTCATTGCCAATGTCATTATTTCACACCCAGAGTAAGCTGGCAGGGTTGTTACATCTTGAAGGAGAGCTTTGTCTCTTTCTTTTTTCTTAAACATCAGATTTTTTTCCCCCTTTAATCAATGCAAATCTTTCCTTCTGAAGGGATCTTGAAGAGCAGATTCCTTCCATTGTTATAAAAGGGATACAGGTTGCTCCGAATGAAGGAATTCCTGATGACAAGGTTTTAAGTACTGCTTGCTCATTTGGCAGGGTGGGTGTCACTGAGGTTTTCCTTTACATGGAATGCAGACCTTGGGTCCTAGGGGGAAGAGATCCTTTGAGGATCATGTCCCTGTTGGACCCTGGGTGGAGAGGTGATGCCACAGAGCAGACTAGAACAGTGGTCTCCAAGGTGGGGTGTCACACCCAGAGGGTGCTATCCGCAAGCAATCCATTCGAAGTGAAGAAAGTACTGAATTTTTTATCTTTACTTTTATGTTATCAATACAAAACCATTTTTTGCTATTAAAAGTTTAAATATATATAAATGTAGAATAACATAATGAACTTCCCATGTACCCGTGTAACTAACGATCATCCGACTTCAAAAATCATCAATTTGTGGCTAGTCTGTTTTCCACGGTTCATCCACTTACTTGCTCTGCCCCTTCTCCTCCCACATTATTTGAAGCCCTATAGGTTGGAAAAGGCAGCCTTGTTCGTACAGTCATTGGACACCCCTCACCACCCCCCAGAACACTTTCTTACCAAGAGATAAAACGCCCACACAGCCTGTGCTGGGTTTTATTGCCTTATGTGGGAATACCTTTCCCTATTTTAGGCTCAACGAGACGTTGGGGTCCTTCCACTCTGAGAGGACCTGCATGTAGGTCAACTGCCCTGTGTTGGCTGCTGGGAGAGACCCAATAGCCATGAGGGACCAATGCCCCCTATTGAAGCTGATATTACTTTGTTTCTTCTCTATGTGAGTAAACTGTTCCACCTTGTATTTTCCTTGGTGATTCCAACACCACAATAAAAAGGGCAGAAGAGTTTGGAGTTCAACCCTGGATTGGTAACCAGTGCACAGTATTCTGCTCCCTGGAACTGATAACTGGTGCTCTGTATTTTGCTGTATACTCTGTCATTATGGCAGTAAATATTTCAACATATCAATCTAAACAACAGGTCCTCCCTCTTTAAAAACGTAACTATAATACCATCCTTTTATTTTGCATCAATAATAATCCCTCTATATAATTAAATATCTAATTAGTGCTTACATTTCCTCAATTGTCCTATTCTTTTTATAGCTTGAATTGGGATCCAAACAAAGTCCGTACATTGTGACAGATAAATATGTCCCTTAAATCCCTTTTCATCTATTGGCCCCCCTCTAAACCTCTTACTCTATTTTTGCAAATTTTTTTGAAAAGCTTGGATTATTTTTCCTGGTTAATCTTTTACAGGTTGGATTTTGCTGATTATATTCTCACGGTATCATTTATCATGTGCTTTTATCCCTTGTATTTCCTATAAATGAAAAATCAAGAGGCTCCCTCAGGTTCAAATTAAATATTTCTGGCAAGAACACTTTGTTGGTGGTGCTATGGATATCTATCGGGAGAACATAATAATTGGTTGTTTCTTTTTTTGTGTGATATCAGCAATCTGTGATGATCATTGCCAAATCCTGTAACTCACTAGGGATTACAAAATGTGGCATTCTCTCTATCTGTCCTCATTTATTAGCTGGACTACTTTTGTAAGGAGAATCTTCTCATTAGCTTTTTGCTAACCCTGAGGCACAGTTCTTATAAGAAAGGCAGGACAAATGATTCTTTTCCTTTACCAGTTTTCAAAATAATAAGTTCATCACCTAGTGTTCTTCAAAAGTGATTACCAGGTATTTTTAAAGTAGTTACAAACATACGAATTTGCACATATATAATATGGTTTAACCCATTGTGGTAGCTCAAAGTGTCCTCATTTTTGGCCAATGGAAACCTATTCAAGTTGGCTCCTAAGTCCTTTTGACATGACCCCAATAATAATTGATAGCTTCCTTGCTTTCTGGTATGACAAGTTGTTCCAAGTGTATTTCCCAGACTTCTCCAAGGACCTGGTTCCTTTTAGTGGGAGATGGTATCTAAAGACCACAATCTGTACTTAGGGTTAGATTATCCTTTTTTTTAAATTCTAATTTACATAATATATTAATACTGTGGTAGAGAGATAAAATTTATAAATGACAAAGAAACACATATATCCAATATAGAAAGTTTAGAGACTACTTTATTTAATGTTTATCTCCGAGAAACATGCTTGAATTCTGATCCTGAGCTCTCTTCCTTTCTGGCTGTTTGGCCTTGGTAAAGTTCTTTTTTCTCTCTCAACGTCAATTTCTTCAAGTGTAAAACGAACAACATAGTCATAGCCACTTCAGGAGATATTGTGATGACCAAATAAGATAGATGGTAGATAGAGATAGAGAGATAAGTAAATGATAGGTTAATAGATATACATACATACATACATACATACCCTGGCCTCACTCAACAAATGGGAGCTATTCATAGTATATTGACTAAAACCAATATTGACAGAGCCTCACTCTTGCAGAAGATACTGTGTCTGTCCTCAAGGATCTTGCAAACCAGAGGACTGGAGAAGCACCACTCATAGGAAAGCTCATGCAGCATCCATTCTCCCAAGGACTTACCGAGCAATATGAAGGATGATTCTTTTGGAAGTTGAGAGAACTCCTTGGCACCTGGAGAAGTCTGAAAATCTCTGTGGGAAAGATAGGGTTTTAGCTGGGCCCTGAAGTCTCACCTGAGGAGGTGGGCGTGGGATATGAGGTTGCAGGGAGGGCATGCTGGGTGGGGGAGATGGCCAGGTACAGAAAAAAGAGGAGGCAACAAAATAGCAATAGGAGGAGTAGCTACTAGAAGAAATAGTCCCAGGAAGGGATGAGTGTTCCATGGTCCCAACCCTCCACAGAGGTGAGCCAGGGGAGGCTAGGAAACAGGACCCTGTTGGCTTTCAAGGCACATTGTGTCTCTCAGTACTGGGGGGATGCCCCATTGCACCTGAGAGCAAGTAAGGCATGAGGGCTTGCCCAGAAGGGCTCCTGGTGGCTGTTCTGTAGAAGGACAAAGCAGCCCAGGCTCTAGGCAACTATAGAGCAATCTAGAATCACGTAGGCTGCTCTGGTGTGTGGCAGGCATCCCCCCACCAGGAGGGAGATGCTGCAGGAAAATAGAGACTTTCAAAATGGCTTTGATGACCCAAGTTCCAGGAACGCCAAGACTAGGCTGGCAACAGCAAAGCCAATGCCAGGAACAACTGAAACTGTGCTTGCCTCCAAAAACCTTGGCGGGAGTCTAGCTCCCATCTGGCTGGGCCACGTCAGGAGCTCACAGTATCACGATTACATGCCAGGCACTGGGTTAAGCACTTAACATACATTCTCTCATTTAGTCCATATGGTCAGCCTCCAAGATAAAGTGTTCCCATTTAACAGATGAAAACGCTGAGGGTACCAGAAGTCCAGCAATTTATCACAGGTTAAATACAAGCCAAAGGTGGGATTCAATCTCAAGTCTGCCTCTAAAACCCTTTCCCTTACTCTTTTCACTTTCCACTATTACTGACTGTCCCTTAAAATGATGATCAGATTCATGTAGGTACAGAATCTATGGTCCCCCAGGGTATAAGCTGCTGGTACATTCCACGTTCTTTACATATGTTAACTCTTTTAGTTCTCTCATGCCTTATGAGAAGCTCTTCTATTATTCTTATTTTGGAAACTGAGACCCAGAGAGGTTAAAGAGCCCACCTCAGGTCACACAGTAAGGACAGTGCAGGGATTCAAACCCAGGCAGTCTGGATCCAGAGCCTGCGTGCTTGACCTTGTGCCATGCTCTGTCTCCCAGTTGGTGCCCATGTGGGCCGGGTCTCTTCTCCATCCCATGTTTCCTTTCTGATGCAATCGTGTGCCCGCCCAGGGAGCACGGCGGGGGGAGTGGGCAGGAAGGCCGGAAGATCCGGGGCACCCGACGTCAGAGGTGGCAGGTGGCAGCTGTCCGCTAACAACACATTTCCTTGCAGTGGCAGTTCTGATACCCACGTGAAGTGGGTCCCATTCCTCTTGGCACTTGGTTTTGGGAATCTGAGCAGTCTGAATTTTAGAGCTAACAGCGCACGTAGCAGGGAGGGAGCCCATCCAACTACTCTGGTGTCAAAATTTTCTTTTTTTAATTAAAAATTCTTTTCAGGAGGTTTTATAGGGAGAGCACAAGCAGGCGGTGTGAAGAGTGGGGGGGAAATTCTTCTTTGTCCCTTGGGGACTAAGAGCAATGCCTGTTCTACTGAGATTTGTAGTCCAATTTATCTTCCTTAAATGACCACATAGGAAAATGATCACAGCGGCGAAGCGACATTAGAAATGTGAAATGGATACATAAAATGTTGGTGAGCGCTCTGGCTGCTGAACCCACTTGAGAAATGGAGATCTAAGGAGCACACAGACTGAACCAGAAGGAGCCTTTAGAAGGAAGGCAACGGAACAAATGTCAAATGTTTATCTGGACAAAGAGAGAAACTGATGGGCACAAGCCCTCAGGTCCTTGCAGGCTTCTTTCTTCTTGAGCAAGGCTGAACATTTCCACAGGTCATTTCCCTGCAGTGGTTATAGCCTTCTCTAGTAATGACGAGGCACCACCGAGCGTTCCTCATGGAAGGGGCCTTCGAGGTCACACTTTATAGTCTGACCACTTCCCTCTGCAAATGAGGAGCCGGGCCCAGAGAGATGAAGTGACATGGCCTGATATTTGATGTGCATTTTCTTGTAGGATGTTTACAAAAATCAGATCATTCATCTGGAATGCAGGCGAACGCCCCAGCAACCACTGACATCCATGAACCCTACTACGTTCCGGATCCCAGCGAACCTTCTGCAGACGTGATGTCATCCTGTCCGCACAACAACCTGCTGAGACTGGTACTAGCCCAGCCCATATTTTCATAGGACATAGAGGTCCAGAGAGATTAAGTGTCTTGACCAAGGTCACATTGCCAGGAAGGCTCGGAGCCACATCTCAACCCAGCCCTGGCTCCGAATCTCATGCTCCTTCTTTACTGCCTTCTGACAAGAATAGGGAAATAGTAAAATAAACCAGGACATATCTCCTGGGATATTATTTCACAATTAAAAATCATTATGAACTTTATGTAGTAACATGGTAAATGCTCATTATATGGTGTTTCGTGAAAACTGTAATACTCAGTGTAAAAATATGCAGAAGAAAAATGGCAGTAGAATGTTTAAATACTAACAGTGGCTGAATAGTGTGATAAGCTTCTTTTCTGTCTGCTTTTTCCCATTTTAATTTTATGTAATGTGGTATAAGTCTTTTGTAACAGAACAATGAATATGATCATTTTTCTTAAAGAACTAGTAGTATACTCTTAGAATCGATAAGGAAAAGGCTAAAAAGAATAGTCATATATTTTTCTTTCCTTGACAATAAAAGCTAATAAGTAATTGATTTGCAGCGTGAGATAGAAGACCATTATACAAAGTCCATACATAACACGATTCTCTTTTCACATTTCATCAGATGCAACAAAAACTAAAATTCGAAGAACTTAAGCTCTGAAGCTACCCTATTTTTATGGCTTGTGTAGCCGAGTCTATTAATAAAACAAGGAGATAACCTTCCAATGTTTACCAGGGTGGTGACTAATCATTCTTTCCTCTGTCTGTACCTGAGCTCCAGCCAACATCAAGGCTCATGGACACATTGGAGTAGAAAATTCCTTCCCATCCACTCTTTCCTTCCATGCGTGGAAGCTTGGGCATGAAGAGGTCAAGTCACTTGCTCAAGGTCTTGTAATTCTTCCTATTTAAATCCTGAAGATAAACTCCCAGCCCTGGGATTGTGCCAATCCTAGCAGCCAGTGCAGAACCCTTCCTTCACTGGATGAGTGAAAGCTTCAGTGAGGGCACAGGATGAAAAGCCCAGTTTAATAAACATGGGCATGAGCAGCAGCTCAATTCCCTGACTGTTTCCTGGGTGCCGAGCGCTATGCTAAAGGCTTTACAGGGGCGATTTAGCCCCTAAGGTATGCCTGCGGTCCCCGCAATAGCATCAGTCTTATTTCTAAGCTGAGGAATAGGAGGCTCCAGAGGACTGAGTCTCGTGCCCCAAACATATAGCTAGCTGGCAACTGGGCCAGGGCATTATAGCCTGGACCGTAGGACTTCAGAGCCAGTCCTCTCCCCTCCTGCATCTTAGCCCTGGAGGGGACTCACAGCGCCAACTCACCCAAAGGCAGAATGTTATTCCCAGAGAGTTAAGCAACTTGCCTGAGGTAAGAAGGGGAATTCGCCTGAAAGCCAGATGTCTGTAGTCCTGAAACATGACCAAGGCCATTTTGTAACAATCCAGTAAGCCTTGAAAGGACCACCTCAGAAAAGCAGTCAATCAGCCCCTCCTTGCTCCCACCCAAGTGTGCCTCTGGGTCACCTTACCCCACCCTTACTCAGCATGGCTCCCCATTTTTAATAGAAACCATGATCAGATGTAAGCTTGGCGACTCACTCAATATTCATTCAACAAACACATGGCAGGTTTCAGGCCTTTGCAAAGCAGGAGGTGAGGAGGGGGTGCAAAGCTCTTCTCCAATGTATGTGACCTCAAGAAGCTTCAAGTACATCAGCAGTCTTACTTTACCAGACAGATGTGGAGGAGCCCGAGAGGCCATGCCTGTTGCTGTTACTCTTGAACAATGAGCAGTGTGTGCTCCTATGTTTGCCAGAGGAATTACACAAACATTTATATGTCCTAATACCCATCAAGGCAGGCCTGAAGCTCCCTGCACTGAATGGCCCGAGTTCTATTTCCTTTGTTAAAATTAAGTGACCCTGGCTGAATTCAGGGTACACTGTGTCAACCAGTCAATGAGCAGAGCCAGGTAAATCGGTATCCAAGGAAAGGAGAAGAACGGAATGAGCAGACATTTAAGGTGAGCCGCTGAAAAGCACATACTCGGAAAGCAAATACATCAAGAATGGGCTTTGGAGCCAGTCATGTCTGTTTCAGACTCTTGGCTCCAAACAGTCACAGGCTGTGTGATGTTGGTAAGTCCTGTAGTTACTCTCAGGGTCTGTTTCAAAATCACTAAACGATGTGCTAATATCCACCTTGCAGGGTTATGAGATTCATGATAATGGGGGCAAAATGTCTAGCGCAGTGTCTGCCATCTTGCTTTGCCCAATTTTGGGTAACTGCCATTATTATTTATAATCACTGGGGATATCCACTAACCCTTGGCTTGTCTCAGTTGTAAATTACATTGAGGATTTCCAAGAGTGAAGAAAAATAATGTCTTAAGGCAAAATTCAACAATCAGCTGAGCAACATTTACTGAGTATCTGCTCTGGACTTCAGTGGGGGTGGGGAAGCAAGGAATACTGCTTGCTTTTTCCATGACAGTGAGAAAATAAAAACTCAAATTAAAGTGAAAACTGAACTAAGAAAGCTTATTTTCAAAACACTAGGTTAAGCCTCTGTGGAGAGAGAATGAACTCAACAATTTGTTTCAGCTCCAAAGGCAAACTATAAATGAACGTGGATATCCACTTTTGACCAGGGTTCATCATCTAAGTATGCTCTAGAGCCAGGTGGAGTCGTTCTGATAATACAAGCTGCTATAACAGATAAACCCCCGAAGAAGATGTTTCTTCCTTATTCCTGTGAAGTCAAACAAACTGGGGTTGGGAGGGATGTGAAAGTCGTGCTTCCAGGCTCAGGCTGGCTGAGCCTCTACCATCTTCATCATAAGGCTCCCAAGTCTGCCCTGGCATGGACATCCAGCCTACAGATGGGAGAAGCAGGAAGGCACACATCTCAACTCTGCCTCCACACTCCATTGGCTAAAATTTAGTCACATGGTCATACTTAATGGCAAAGGAGGCTGGGATAATAATATCTCTGTTCAGCAGGAACTGGAAATGGGTTTTCAGAATAGCAATCAGTTCCTGCTACGCAGGGCACCTGCAAACACCAGGGATTCCATGTTTGGGAAATCTAAGACCCATTCTTTCCTGTTTTCATTCTTGTAACTCAACCCAAGTATTTAGTCCTTTAGTCCCAGGCTCATAGTATTACAGGCAAATTTCACATAGCACAGGGACAAAATAGATAGGA